ACTTTGCAACATTTGAAGCTATATTTAGCTCTCTTCTCCAGAAATTTAGGTTGGGCATCCATGGGGAATAATCTGGTCTACGAGCAAAGTGCTTTCTTTATGCAGCTGTAAAAACACACAATGTTTTCATACCCCAGGGTGTGAAAAGCTAGTCTTACTACTAAAGTAGGTTAAGCTTTTCTTCTTTTCCATTACTCTTTCTGTAGTAAACCCTTTGTTTAGGTTTTTCTTTCTTGAACACTCTCTGTGGTATTGTCACATGCTGAAATCTTCATATAACATACCACACCTTCTTAAAAAGTGAGTTCCTCACTCTTCCTTGCCTTGATTAGGGAGGAGGGTGGAGAAGACTTCCACCCCTCCTCAGCCAGAGGACTTCCTCTGCACGCACAGTCACTGTGTAGCACTGACTTTGGCTTTCATGAGTGGACTGGCTTTCTCAGCCATTTGGGCAGTATAGGCTTTCCTCTTGGATGATGCTATCATCAGTGCAATTGCCTACATACCGGTGTGAAACTTAAAAGTGCTATCTTGCAAAGAGATCTAATTAATTTTTTTTCTTTTGAAGAGGTATTCAGAGCTCCCATATTTCGTCATAGAACAGACAAGAATGGCTTTAGTTTGGGCTTCAGCAAAAATCTAAGGCAGGTGTTTGGTGATGAGAAGAAATACTGGTTGCTGCCTGTGTTTTCAAGGTATGCTCAGTTTTTAATGCTTCATTTGTTGAAACTGTTGAATAATCAGGATCCACAGGGTTTGGGGGCATGGTTAGTTTTTTTGAAATAAGATACAGTAATATTCACTTTAGAAAAAACAGTTCTTCGAAGTTGGGGGTTTTTTTATGTATGATACTAATTCTGAATTTTTCAGTCTAGGGGATGGTTGCTCCTTCCCAACTTGCCTTGTTAATCAGGATCCTGAGCAAGCTTCCACACCTGGTGGTCTTAATTCAACATCCAAAAAGTAATCTGCTTTTTGTTACTCATTTCAAATAGTTGATATTCTATTTTTTCCTGTGCAAATATAAATAGAACCATGCATAAAACACTTAAAAGCAGTAAGCAAATGAAGAGTATCCTATTAATAAATACAGGTCAGATTTTAAACAGCTAAGCTGTAATTCAGCTAATCCTCAGACATATATTTAAATTTATGGAAATAAGGTGGGATAAGTATAGTAGACTTGAATAGGTGACTAAGAAATGATAATGGAATTGTATTGACAATCTTTTATTCATAAAAGAAATACAGTACGTTTCGGCTAGCTATTTATTGACATTTTAAATCTTACCCCAGTGATCCATAGCTTACATTAGGCAAGAGATTTTGGAGATGTTCTCTCCACTATTTATCATGTCAGGTTTGTTGTAATGGGAGAGAATATGGATAAGAGTGCATTTGGAACTGAAGTACCTGTATTAATATATAGTAGCTGTCAAAGAAAAAATCAGAATGTTTCCCTGTTCTGTGCTAGGGAGTTGCTTTTTAGATTGCGCTTGCATCTGTGGCAACTCCAATGTAATGTATGTAATGATAAAAGTGTAGTGATTCATCAGAAAAGAAGCAAGGTAAAGTAGGGAAAATACTGCGTACGACAAACTGTTTGTAATGTGTGGTAAGATAATGAAAAATTACTGCAGTTTACTAATGTTCTTTTTATTGGCATTACAGTGAGAACCACCTGTTTCCTGCAAAGCCGTTGCGTGACTCCCAGAGCCACCTTCTTACGGATACGCCATCTTGGTCAGAAACTAGCGCAAAGGCTGAAAAGGGCAAAGTTGGTAAGGAATTGATTTATGCTGCAACGATTCATTTTGTAATAAACTAGTTTGGGAGGATACAGTGTAAAAATGACCGAGGTCACTTGGTTTGTATTCACGAACCAAAATTCATGAAGCTCATTTTAAATGCATGTTTGTAGGAAGTTCATGTATCATGTATCAAGCTGCTGTGTCCTTCCCAGTTAAACCTGACCAAGAGATACTGAGAACACTAATACCAGTAGGTGCTAATTGTCTTTTAGGCTGAGCCTGATAATTCTTTTGGCGACAAACTGCTTATACCAGCATATGATGACACCTTGTTGCAACTAGTGAAAAACTGTGTAGTGGACACAGGACAGGAATAGGCGTGGTAACAGTGGAATGACATTAAGGTGGATTGTTAATTAAAGGTTGTATTATTTGCTGAAGTAGACATGAGACCTTTTCCTGTGGAAATACCATTTTTTATCTTTAAAGGTATGAGCAATCCTGCATTAACCATGGAAAATGAAACCTAATTTCCCTTAAAAGAAACATCTGAATATATAAGGAAAGGTATGTTAATATTCTCTGTACTTAATATGTTATTCCATGATTTCTTACCACTTGAAGAATGCACAAAAGAAAATTACTAAAGCAATTCCTATCTGTTTTCTTGTCTTCAATTTAATTTTTTTACCACAAGTAGTAGCACATGAATTCATAGTTTTAAACTAAACCTCCTATTTCTTGATGTGTCATGTTTGCAAAATAGTTTAACCTTTATACCCATTGCTTTTAGGTAATATTCCAAAATATTATTATTTTTTATTATTATTATTCCCTGTCTTTAGAAAGATAATGGAATTGTGACTATTCAAGTTGTCCAGCAAATATTTGTAAAGCTAAGTTTGAAAATGAAGTTAGTTCTTAACACTGAACACAAAGACCATAGCTTGGTCTGCTAAAGCAGGTAAAGGTCTATCAGATGATGAAGGAAAAAAGATTTATTCTAACATGTAAGCTATTAGCAGCTTGTTCTTCTGTGCCAGGTACTGAGCTGCATCCTATTTAATAATGAAAAAGTGCTGCCTACTAAAGACAAAAGGTGTCCATATGACTTCCTGAGCATTTTGTCACCTATTGCCAAAAACAGCTGAGATTTTTTTTTTATTTCTTGCATTGATATCTTGCAACATAGACTTCTCAGAAGGCAGGTTTGAGAAGCAGCTAGTAAATTCTGTTATGTACGTAAGTGGAGGGGACCTTAATAATTGGGTTGGGGGGAATGAATACAATCGATCATCATACTCACTTTAGTATTTGAAGATTTCTAACTCCACCAAAGCTTACAGAAATGAACTGTTTCATATTTAAAGCTGGATAAAAAATTCTCCTCCAATCCTAAGAATGTCAGCATACCAAATAATTCACGATTTTCCAGCAACGTTGGAGGAGTCGTTGCAGGAAGGTCATTTCCATCTCTGCTATTGGAAGCACCCTTTCAGTCACCCTGAAAAAGTGTCTCAAGTGGATGTCCTTCACTTGTGTGTGACGTGACTCCTGGACATGCCGTCACGGCTGTCAGGTTGCTCTCAGTCACTGCTGGAGGAAGTGGAAGGCGTGGAAAGCCATCAAAGGACTGCAGTGATTGTTACTAGACCCATCAGGCATGGTATTGCACTGTCAAGGGAGATTATAAAAATGGTAGAGGTGTGCAGATACCAACAGGTGGCCTGTAGCTTGTACCAAAAAAGTCCCCAAAGTTCAGTTGGATTCGTCAGGGAAACTAAAAAATTCTTGACCCTTACATTCTGGTTTTGTGTTTAGTGGTGAATGAAGGCACAGACGGTTCCAGATATAGGTACATCTACAAACTTGATGATGGTGCGAAGTGCTAAAGTGTTGAAAATGTGGGTGTCAAATGAACAGAGTTAAAGAGACGAGCAAATGAAACCCAGCCGGTGCCTGCAATTTTGACTGCTCTATGTAGGTTTTTTTTTTAATAGAATCTAAGCTCTCACTTCTAATCCTTTGTTCAAAATGTAAAATGACATGCTTCTGCCCTGTTTAATCCATCAGTTGTTTCAACAAAACAGCAGCTTCTGAAAAAGAATAAATTACTCAGCTTCAGTTAGTTTCATGTCTTTTACATGTCATCGCTGCTCAAGAGTAAAGCACTGGGGACAGGCTTTAAAGAAACATTTTTTTGATTATGTTACAGAAATATCATTAATTGCAACTAGTTTTGTCAGGTTGGAGTCTACTTTCAAAGGTCCTAACACTTTATTTACTTAAGTAATAACTTCTAAATTTTAATCTTTCTTTGAACAGCGTGTACATTTTATGGGAATTTTGTCATTCAGTTTATTCTGAATGTCATTCAGTTTATTCTGAATGTTAAACATGGTCGTGATTGTTCTCAAGATGCTGAAAGTGTGTAAGAAAGGTTTTTTTCAAGCTGTTTAGCTTGATAAACACCTCGTGCTCTTTTTTAGTTGTTTTTTTCTTTTAGTCCAGTCGGGGAAAGTAACAGATTTGTGTTTGTAGTCTGATTACCCCACCCCTGGGGTGGTGGGGTTTTTTTTGGGGGGGGGGGGTCTGGGTTTTTTTTTGTTTTGTTTTCTTTTTGTGAGCATCCATTTAGAATTGCAGTTTTTTAAAGACAGCCCAGCTTCACAGGAGGTTATGTTCCAAAGAGCGAGTGTAAAGCCACGTAAAGGGGTTCTTGGAAGTCAGTTTTGCCTCAGACCAATGCATGCACATCTCAAAGGGGCCGTAGCTAAGGACCGATAATTTCTCTGGCATGAGTGTAAGTGCCAGTTTGATTGTACCCTTAGCTCTGTCTGAGATATTTCTGTGTGGCACTTAAAAGACTTTCTGGCGATATTGAGAAAAAGCTAGGTTACTCTGTGTGTGTGTGTGTGCGTGTGTATGTGTGTGTGTGTATATCTATCACTGACATACAGTTGCTGGAATAAGAGCCCTTATATAAAAATGTTTCTACATTATATTTTTTTAAGCTACTTTGCTTTTAACTTCATTACTTTATTGTCAGTATTTGAGTTTGTTTGTTCCTAGGGAGTGAACAGAATAATAAAGATGCTGTATTCACAACAACAAAACCAACTGATTTCATCTTTGACATGAAAAATACAGCCCCTGCCAGTGTGTTAGTAATTTGAATTTCTGTCCCAGCTAAGGTTCAATATCCTGTAATCCTTTATAGTTAATCAGAGGACTAATTACTGAGAGTGCCAGATGTGGTTTACATTACTGTAATAGAGAATTGGTTTTTTAATGATGTTGGTACCTGGAAGTACTGTAAAAGTAGCTCACTTCATTTTATAAACTGGTGGCCTGCTTGCCAGGTAGTCAGTTTTTAATCACTGTCATCCTGAAAGTGGATTAATAACATAACTGTGAACAGTCTTACTGTGTTCCTCTTCAGGGTGGGATATTCATTCAGCTGTTGTTCACTTTTCTCATCACAGTTGATGAGATCTGTTGCAGTAATTTAATTTTTAAGTATTCTTCAATTCTAATAATGTATTTTGTGATTAATGTTCTGTTCCAGTTCAAGAAAAAGCTGTCGTTGGAAGGAAGATGCATTCTTCCAAATATCAGCCCTGTTGGCCAGCTGCTCCTGTCTGCTCCTGTGTGGATGTGCTCAGAAAACAAACTGACAGATGATTAGCTGTCTCCATGTCACTGCTTGAAACATGAAACTAAACATACTACTTCTGAACCATATAAAGAATGTTTCAACTTAAAATTACTGGTTTTGAATGGTGAAGGATGATTCTGAGTATGAGGAAATGGAAAAAAAAAAAAAGGAGTCTGAGTTTACAATTGTAAAAATTCAATGGCTGGTTTTACTTTGATATTCAGCACAAGGAAAATGTGACCTCCTTACATATCGGTCCATATTCTTGCCTTGGTTTTGAAAATTCACCCGTTAATTCAAATTGCTGTAAGTAGTTGACTTCAAAATCAAATTTTTGCACTACTGGCTTTACGAATTGGGAGAACAGCCAGTGTTGAGTACAAGTAATGTAGTGGCTTGGTGGACTGTATTTTCTTTTGCACGCTTGATAAGCAATTTTTGATGAAAAGGAAACCCAAGTGAAGTGTCTGACTATTGTTTGGAACATTTTTGGAAAACATTATGGCAAAGGCTCCATTTTCCCTCAGACGTGCACTACCAATAGTTTAAAAAATTGGGCGGGGGGGGAGCAGGTGTTAAAAAAAGGGGGGGGGGGGGGGGGCAGGGAACCTCCTTTGTTAATTGAATGCTACAGCGTGTCACTGGTAAGTGGAGCGATAAAAAGCTTGCGTTCAGATGGATAATGCAGAAATGAAGCTGGCCAGCTGTGGAATTTGATGGGAGCTGCACAGGACAGTGCTATGAAATGGGGGTTTTATTGTCCTGTTTGGAGCCTTACCCCCTTTGGGAAACAAATGTTAACACTTTGATCCAAAAGGCATTTCACCAACCTGTGTTCCTGAGGGCCACCATCTTTCAAAATCCCAGTTTCTTATTAATCAAGAGTTGTCTCAGATTTCTTTTTTCACTTGTTCTTTAAGACACTGCCTTTCTTACCACGTAACGAATATCATGTACAATCAAGGCGACTTAATGTTATAACTTGTGATTTTTGCATATACAGGACAATGGACGTTTGATTGCAATACCAAAAAGCCAAGCTGCTGCACGTAGGAAACCCCCTTCAGTTAAGTAAGGAGCTAGCAGCTTTTTTAGGATTGGCGTCCACTGGCCAGATAATAGAAGATGCATTATCAACTTTCAAAGTCAAGGAAGTTTCAGCAACACAAATCTAATTGTCTTGTGCCTTTTGTATACACTACATTTATGGTATCAGTGTTTACATTTAAATGCAAATTGTTATTCTGAAAAAAACTTCAGGAGGAACTTAGTTATGCTTTCTCGGTGGCTAGATAAAAAGACTAGTCCAAAAAAAAAAAAAAGTGAAAACCTCTCAGACTAAGCTCAGTTCAGTTGAAGCAGAAAAGTATTTCTGTTATCAAACCTGAGTCACTTAGCAGGTTGGTTCACAGCGTAAAGATGCCAGTTGTTTCTTTAGAAAACTGGCAGCAGCACTAGTGACAGATTTGTGAAGGCAAAAATCTTATCATGAACTCTTCTGCAGGCAGGTAACTTTAAAATTTGGCTTTCCTGGGTTTACAACTTAAGTGATAGCTGTTAGAGCACAAATGTGGCTTTTTTCCTACTGAGGGAAAATGTATTTATTTTACTTTTTTTTAATTATCTCAAAATTTTACCAGCCTGAAAACATCTGTTTCTTGCCAGAAGTGCCAGAGTATGGATCCCTTGATGTAGAACACCTTTTTTTAAACTAGCATGAAGGTAGCATACAGTTTACATGATGCCTGCAGACATCTAGCAACCAAAAGTTTTTCACAGCTATTTATTCAGTGTTGTTCTGTCAGCTTACCTCGTATTAGTGTTTGTTTAAAGGCTAACTTCTCAAGGGATAAGGGGGAGAGGGAAAATATATTTTTTAACACTTCAGGTTCTCTATCTGTATAGTCTTGTTTTTTTACACAGTCACAGGGTGGTTTGTCACGGAGCATGCATTTGAAAATACTGAGTAAAAAGTTGAAATGCGGCTTCAGTGTAACTTGCTCCATATTTTTACATAAAGACAAAGTACAGATTTCTTCCCAGCAAAACTCATAATGGAAATGGATCTCTCCATACAGCTGTCAGCCTCCCTGACTACGTCCAGGGCTCTGAGAGCTCTCAGTAAGGCTGGGGATCAATGTAGAGAAAGGACAGGGATAAGGGATGGAGAAATGCTTGGCTTCTCCATGTCTCAGAAGTCACACTTAGACAACACAATAGCCCTAAATAATCTGCAGCTCTGATGTAGCCAGAGGCTGTCCCTCTAGCAGAAAACTGATGGGGGCGTGGGAAACATATGCTGATGAAGGGAGGAGAAGGGGAAAGAGAAACGGCGGTAGCTCAGCAGTAAATGTTCAGCAGCTCTGAGGCAGGGGGCTCTAGCTACACCTGCTCTCGGGATGGGTGTGTGCTGTGCCTCCGTGAAGAGCATTGTCAGCAGGCTTCTGAGGGTTCCTGGCAGTTCTCACTGTATAGAGTACAGACAAAAGTGAGCTAATCATGCTCCCAAGTATAATTTCCAATATGACTATTCTTGGCTTTAAGCTCTCTAGTACTTTATATAGTGAAGTGAAGATGGTCTTTTTTGACATATTATCATTGAGCATTGATGCTGTTACAATGCACGCAGGAGGATTTGTGGAGAGGTAAGGGGAGCAAGGATGCAATGTTGTTTGTCCGCTTACACCGATTCTCCTGTTCTTTATATTCTTGCTAGGCACTTTACTACAGCCTTTTGTGTAATTTCTGTTTTTTTTTAAAACTGCTTTTTACCTATTGTACAGTTACTAATCTACTTTTTTGCTAAAAAGAAAATAATAGCCCTGATATTTGTCTAGCAGTATGACTGCAGTTCAAGCTTCAGTGGAAGTTGGGTGAGTTCTGCAGACTCCTCAGATGGGCCTGAGTCCCTAATGACAAGAGTTACATTGATTTTGTATATACGTGTATATATGATTCATACAGTCATATGAATCATAGCCCCCCACATGCATAAGAAGCTTCCTCAACTTGTAGGTTAGAACAAATCCAGTGTTATTAACTGGATTTGTCCAGTTAACGGAAGTGGTCCACACATATTCGATGTCAGTTGATGCACTGGTGATGGAGTGCTCAAAGTCTTCACAGAGATCTATTTTTGTTAAGAAAAGGGAACACCTAGATGTTGGTGAGCTCCTTCCATTGAGCAATTAGGCACAGCTGCTGCTACGCACTTTAATTCTTTAACTTGAGAGAAAAAACACTGTCCAGTTTAAGTTGCAGAGGGAAAGTTCTTCAGTAGCCTACAACCGTGTAAGGTTGTAGGTAATTAATTAAGGCAGGTAATTAATGAAACACTGGTAATTGGTTTTAACTGTTTGTGTACTTAAAATCAGGGTCTTCAAGCAAGACTTCAGAAGGGTTGGAGGAAGTTTGTTTTAGTGCACGGTATGCTGTAGCTGTTGTTAATCATCATTTGGACTGAGAGTTTGTGCCCCGATTCAGTTGACTGGTGTGCTGGAGTGCGGGGGGAATATATTTCTACATAAATTTAGTGTATAACTTTGCCACTTATTAATGTATTGCTCACATAAATAAATGCTTCATGTTCAGCAAGTCACGTACACAGTAGTCATTGACACACTAGCTTCAGTTTTACTGGCAGCGTACCTGAACAGCAGAACAGCCATCATCTCTGCTGTGGCTTCGTTAACAACATAGTTGCTGTAAATGTCTGCCTTCACTGGGCGTCTTTGACTTTTTCAGGTAAGTTTTCCCTCCCCAGTTTAATTGCTAGATCCATAGTGCCCCACAAACCTTGAAACAGGTTAAGAGGGAACCAAAGCCTTTTTGGTCTTTCATGGGTAAACACTCTCTGTCTCCGTACGGGCAGCAGACACAGCTGCACTCCTTCGGATACTGTCGAAGGTCAAAAAGGTGAAATTCTGTCCTAGAAAAAGAGGGGGTTCTTAAACCCTCCTTACTTTACAGAACTGAGGAGGTGCAAGGACGGGAAGTATGTTGCTGGGGTTGTCACCCACAGCAGCTTTGCTTCATGCAAAGCTCCAGCCCCTCCCACGCCAGATTCTTCCCATCTGCCTGACTTTCCACTCTGCGCTTTGCTAACAGTCTCCCCTCGCAATGCGTTAGACCCACCTCTGGTGCAAAGAGGGAGGAGACTGTCTATTTGGGGGCCTCTAAAAATGCAGGAACAGTTATGTAAAGATGAAAGCAGCTTTCACCCATTCCAGTTCAGACATAACCTGCAGTATATGATCTGAGCTTTTCCCATTTCTTATTTAAAACCCTTCCATAAATATTTGCATTGAACCATATACAAACATTCTCATCCAAAACAAAATTAAAAAAAGAACATGCTGCTATGCAGTATGGGTGGTGGGGTGGTGTCGTTCCCACTTCACTTGCAGCTATCACTTGTTCATCAGTGACCTGGTAAGAAGACAGGAAAAGCAGCAGCCTTCTGGGGTGAAGTTTTGAGCAAGTGGCATCTGACGTAACCAAAGGAAAGCCTTGCCTACTTTCCCTTCGCAGTTTTTCAATTGTTCCCTTTTTAAGTTTTTGATCAAGATTCTTCCCTCTCTCCTCCCCTCCCCTCCCTAGAAGTCCAGATTGAAAAGTCTTTCATCTGAAATGTACTATCAAGATCTACATCTTCTTTATCTCTCTCCCTCCCGAGGTTTATTCTAGATAGATAATTCCTTCATTTCTCCAAGTTCTCCTAACAGTGCCCATCACTGAAATACAGTAACTCAAGTCATCCTGAAATCTGACTGTAGTTTCCAGTATTTGGGTGAGTGCTTACACGCTTCAGCCTACATCACCGGGATCTTCTCAACCAGATGGGCCCAACAGTTTGATTGCAGCAGTTGGAAGGGCGTGCTGTGAGCCATGTCCCCTTTCCCACCTCCTGCATGCTCACAGATTAACTGATTGGCATAACTGGAACAGACCCAACACTTCCTGACAGTCATCATTTTATGAAGTAATTTTCCTTTTTTTCTTCTGAAAAGAGAACAATTCTTGGTTCACCTAAGAAGGAGCCCCGGTTATAAAGACAAAATACACAACATATACCAACTCCGCGTTACAGCCTGAACAACGGGAACCTATTTCCAGTTATTTTCTCTATCATACCGGAGATTAAACTGGCCAGTAGTTCAAACAGATACAATAGAGAAAATCAGTAGCTTAGTGATGATATAAGCACACTAGCAATTAGCCTGCACAT